TGAAGTAAGTATATAGTTAGGCGTAATTTCTGCCACCGTCGCCTTCTGACTTAATCTTCTGTGTTTTCTCAGAGAAAGAGGAGTATTCAAGCAATCAATCGTATATCGTTGTGTGTTGCATTAACATTAAGAACTGGCCCAAATTAAGAATTGTTTCGATGACAAAAATATTTATCTAAGTGATGCCTTACACCATCTCTTAGTGTATATGTTACAGTGACAGTAATTCCTAATTTATTGAGGCATAGCCGTGGCTGATAGCAGATTACTGAAGAATAATAACTTGGGGGTTATATCGGCTAAGTATTCATGTTAAAATTCCGTTAACCAAGAAACTCAGTAACACTGATGGCAGTAGTTTAGAAACTAAACGCACACTGGAAGGTGTCAGCTTATCTGAGGTGTCTTAAGGTATACATTAATGATTTACTGTTCTCAGATACCGTTAGAGTTATTATTTCAGTAGATAAACTTTGTAAACTGTATTTGATTACTGGTACACAGCCTCTTTGTCTTGAGTATATAATGTAGGAGCAAATAATTCCTCAAAATTATTAGCCTAGAGCATATATCACTCAGCGCTAGTCGCTAACTTTCACTGTTTAAGTCAACTACTTAAGCTGAGAGTTTGCAGGCAAGCACTCATGCCACTTCCCACGACGTTAAGTTTGGTTGTTCGTCTACTGTCCTTAGCTGGCACTAATATTTGAATTACCAAATATATTTCGATTTATGGACTGCAGATTTGGTGTTTTGACTTGTATTTGGTCTAAGCAGAAGAAATACTAAAGGAGTTAGGGGTAAAAACTTCCTTTGACTTACAGCGTATTTTGCGTAAATGTGCAATTCCCTTCATCACCCAAAATACCAGGTATAAAAAGAAATGAAGGCTACAGACAGTCTGATAGTCAGCTGACTGTCTCTGAAGGCTGCTCAGTAGAAAATAAGCTTTTCTAAATTTCTTAAGATAAAACTATACGTTTAAATTTACGTTCTAGTTGTGCATACATAAAATTGGTAAACTGATTCATGCTATTCAAGATTAGAGTAGCATGACCAGCCGATGCCCTATCGACCTTTTGTAACTGCTATCTTTATTTGTGACTCATTGTCAACATTATTGGTATAAGTGTACTAGTCCCAAACAAAAAGATTTATGGCAGTCTCTGGGCAAATGAATTCAAAAATTCCGAGGAAGCGTCTTCTTTTTCACTCAAAAACTACAAGACCCTTACATTGCCCCAAAATTTTTTATTCAGGTCCCATATAAGACAGTGATGTGGATTTATAAGCTTCTGTTTTACGATTTGATTGAAGCGTCTTTGAAAATTGAAAGCTAGAACCATATAGTAGCAAGAAATACATATTAAATTGGTATGTATGAATAAATTTCCATCAAAGTCGCCGACTTAGAACCTATCGAAATTGGCTGAATTATAGTTAGAGATGTTCTGTTGATTCATTCGAATCCTTAGACTTATAAAGACAATTCTGGGATTAAAAATCACCACATGTGTGTTTAAAAATATGCGCATTCGGCATATCCACAAGCATATGGACACACTACTAAAATTAAATCCAGCTGAAGGATAAAGCGTGATAAAATTAATACGAATCAGAATCACACAAGTACTATAACTACACTGAACAAAACTGATTTTTATTAAAAAAACAAATAAAAATAAGAACTTTAAGGTTGACTCACGGAAAGACGTAGCATTTTTATATGTCCGCAAAAGTTATTCACTTAAACGCAGTACCCTTGTCTGATTTTCCTTTTGAAAATACAATATTAGCTACTTTGGCAACAATTTTTGAAGTTTGGCTACGCTTAAGAATAGAATTTATTTCGAACTATTTCTTATTTCTTACTGTTTGCTGATGCAATCTTCTGCATGTTTCGAACTGAAGTTGCTTCATTTCCTTTGCATGCATGGAATATTGCCTTGATAAAAGAATTCCGTGAATGGCGTCTGTCTGCAGTAATGTATATATTTAATAGATAACGACCAATATGCACACCAATTTTACAGCAAGAATCCTTTTCAACTGAAATTTGACCTTCTTTTCTTTCAGTTTTATCTGCTTTGCAGAATTAACTTGAGAAGGCGTAAAAATTAACTAAAACTGTGCGAGGATGATAATGAACAACTGGCACAGTGGTTGAATCTCTGTACTAGTTTACCACACAACATATTCCATCAAATAATCTCTGTTTTCCCCGGTATTCTAATCCATTTATGAATAGATTTATATACATAAACGCATTTTCTGGATATTTCAGGACAGGTTAAGTAAATGACATGCAAAAGAAACTTCTCGATAGGCAGTAATGCAGCTGAAGACCAGCTGGGGACGGACTCTTTTTCTTCACCTGAACAAGCATCAACTTTATTTCGGAGGGCGATTATGCACCACGAATACACAATGTTTCCTTTAAGAAACAACACAGAGGTAGATAGTTACTCATAATTGTATGCTTGCAGCTTCCATTATGATTTAACACTGGGTTCTAACATCTACTGTTTCCGTCAGATGGATAGGCTGAATGTACAACATCTTCTCCATACAACGCTACCATTTTACATTTGAATAATTACACACAATCCGCACAATAACACACAACATTATGAGGCCGTGATTTGGACGGTAAAGCTTGTTCTGTTTGACCTGATAATTGTTCTGCGGTCAAGTTGAGTAGGGGAGGGTGAAGATTTATAATTCTATGTCATTGCACAATTATGTCTTGCATGTTCGTGGACATCTGACAGCTGCCATATCATCAAGAAAGGATCACACTGACAATGAAATAATGAAATAGAAGTGAATAAGTTCTAAATGAAACTTTTAAAATCATTTACTATTGTGGTTTTTAATTGGACCTAAGGAACTCTTGCGTAATATATTGAGCGTAATCTAGCGTTTTGTTGAAGGAGAAAAGTCGAGACTTGATTGTCTCCGAGAAACGTTTCCCCCAACCCTTTAATGTTAAATAAATGACGGAAGTCACAAGCCACGCAGTATTTGTGACACAAAAAGACCATTATTGCTACCAGCGAATCAACAGCTGCAATTCGAAATTTCTGTGCGTGAAGTGAATCATAAATTATTGCACAAAGTAAACTACACCTTCATAGACCTCCCGCTCAGACTAACCAGTACTGAGTACGCACAATCCGAATAATCAGTTATTTATTATTATGCATTTTCCTAATTCACAACCGACTGTTCCAAATGACTTCTGAAAATGTTTTCGAACATCCTTAATTTCACAGCATGTGGGGAATGGCCCACACAGAGATTTCATGCAGTGTCCCCTGGTATCTGCACAGCCAAAAAGCAATTTCAATAGTGATGCCAGGCATACACTGCAAGCCAAACGAAAAGATCAGTATGAGGAGAAATTATAAAAGTTGCAGACCGACCACTGCTCACAAATAATTGATGGAACGTCAAGCTTCTGAAGAAAAAGAGATAGCTATGGGTGAAACTGTAACAAAATATTCCGATGAATCCGAACAAATCATATGTCTTAAAGAAAGTCTAAAAACCAAATGGCGTGCATAGTAATAACCTCTATTTCAAAATCAAACACAAGTCATGAGGTGCCATGTAGCAAAGGAGTGAGTAGTCAAGGTCCCAGGTGAGATGAGCTACTAATTGGTCCATTACACTTAAGTCCAAGAATGGTTCAAAGCGAACTGCCGAAACTCTGTTCGCGGGATTTCACTGGTCTTGATGTCACTAGTTATCTGTCTTAAGGTACTGCAAAAAGTAACTCTCTCCCCAGTTTTCAAGGTTAATTGCCAGTCATGCCCGGATTGTCTTCCTCACCTTTCTCGGGGCATTCAATACCATCTTCTCCGCAAGATAAACTAGACTAAGGTGTACGACCCATCATGGAAGAAGATTATATGCGAGAATTAACTGCTGTTACATATCACGTCGTGGACTGACCTGTGTAGCTTCGCAAGGCTTTACGATTCCTAATGTTTTCACTAATTATCCATTTCCATCCGCTGTATTTGGAGTGACTGGCGTTTCTTCACACTGATGACGTGAAGCTTTATTCAGCTACAAAAGGTGTGGATTAGATTTTGACAGACCTGTAGAAGCTGAGAGCGAGATGACGTTCATGGATGGTACGAAGTACACTAACGCAAAATCTTACGCCTACAACCCTTATAGTGCTCGTTCCACAAAGATCAAAGACAAATCAAAACATCAAGTCGTTCGTCCAAAATACGAAATCTATTTCGGGATCAGAAAATGGTAGTGTGAAAATGACTACTTAACTAGCTAGGAATCGCGAACCAACAACCGGACGTGAAATGACGGCGTGCCAAATGGCTTGGATGCTTGAGCACAGGACACCAGTTAAAAAAGTCAACTTGAACATTGAAGGTCAGCATCCAGTGTGGAGTGATGAATGTTGCAGGCTAATTATTTTAGGCAATAATATATGGCTACAGTCCCCAGTACTTTGCAAGACTAAACAAGAGATTCTGAGTGATTCCATTATCAAAATAACTGAATTCGGATCAAATATGCATCCCTGCACACACATTTTGTTACTCAGAGTGGCTTTGTTAAGCATCATATTCTGACCGACAATAAAATTACAAACAATTTCACTGCATTCAATATATCTCACTGCGATGCTAACAGTTCTGTTAAGCTAAAATTGAAGCACCGTTCGCCTCATTTTTACTGCCACTATTGTTTTCATTATCTTAACTGAACTAACAACCCGTTAGCGGGCTTAACACTGATGACGAAATGCGCTACAAATTTAATCAGTCCACCTGCAATCATTGAGGAGTTATAAGGTAATTTCAGGAGGTACTGGTGATATATATATGCAGAAAATCAAGTAACGGTTTATCACGACAAAAAACAAGTTCAAAGAGTTTAAACTGCTTTATAATGGCTGCTGAAGTTGAGATGAGATGGATATTGGGTATTGAATGCCCTTGACCATCGTGGCGGTGGCTAAATAAATGAGTCTTTTTGATGATTTGCCTGAACCTTCCGTAGACAGTGACGAATCAAGTATGGTCACTTTTTCCAGTTTTGACTGTTATTTAAGACAAGTTAGAACAATCCGATGACACACCTTCAGCTAGTGGAATTAAATCTGGATCATGTGTTGGTAAGGTGTTGAGTGATATCGGATATCCATTCCTAAGAACTTTTCCCTGTCATTTATTCAGTTATCTCCAGAAAAGGAGAAAGGCCAGAAATGCAAGATGCTCATATACTGATGGATGACTTGATGCAGCTTATGTGTCGAGGAGTCTCAAGTGAAATGTAATCAAGCTGATATAAATTGTGAACTAATTATTTCCAGTGGAAGAGTGGGCTACTTTGGTGTTTTTGATGGACATGGAGGATCAAGAGCATCTAATTTTGCATGTAAACGCTTGCATCAGCATATAGCTGCACGTTTTCCTCGTGGTGAGAGTCCCCTCTGTTTATCAGTCAGCTTAATATGTTATTGTGCTATTTCGTTAATCTTTCCGCTTTTAAATTAGGTCTCTTGCATTTCACCTCAATTTCTGACATTAAAACTAGTAATGGTCCAGTTGGTTTTCGTATAAATCCCACTAGAACTATTTGCAAATGACTGTATTGGTAGTAATGTCTAAAACAAATATAACTGCTTGTTGAAATTTCGTAGGTTTGTGAGCAGAATGTTGCATTTTCTTCAAATCCTCCCACAGTTTCCATTCTGGTGAAAGTCTCAGATTAAGTCACAAAAATCTTGTGAATTCTGTAGAAGTTTTCAAACTAGTGTTTAAAATTCTCAATCATCACATTAATTAGTCGGAAACGCCTCAAAACGACGTAGATTTTTCGCATACTTTTGGCTTTTCCAATAAGCATGTTGGAAGTATATCTTTGCTTCAAAGTACGTTTTGATCTTCTGTTCCACTTCTCCAGTTGTTATGTGTGATCGCTAGCTATTTTTTTCTAGATGTGTTGAAAGTTTCCTTCGTTTTGTGCTGGTGTGTAAGTATTCCCTAGGAAACCCGTTCGCTTATCTTGGGTCGGAAATCGTATTGTTAATGTGAAACCTGTAGTTCTGGATAATCAGTAGACGTTGTTGCAGTTCATCCGTATTCTACAGGGCGAATATCCATTGTGTAGTGTGAGGTTGATGGCATGCGAATTAGCAAATAACACTCAAGCTTAAGAAGCGCTATTATTCCCTGTTCTAAGTCAGTTCCTTTTCATAGGTTATCACCGATATGCCTAATGAAGTGGTGGTCCAAGGGGACTCCAGTTACTGATGCATCAAAAGACAGCCTAGGCAAGTTAGCCGCGGTCCATTTTTAAGATGGTGGTGACGCTAGCCCTGAAACTGGCTAGGTTATTCGAGAGGGTATTGAAGGTTGTGTTTCATCTCTGTGGACTTAGCCGACCATCTTGTCTATGTATAAAAATTGGCTGCGTAATGCACTTTTTAGTCATCATGTTATTGTGTATTACCACTCGCAACAAAAATACTGACTGCTGTTGTACTTCTACGTACTAATTCGTCAGTAGCAAGCTGGTTTTTGTTCAGGTTGTGGAAACATGTGTTCACCCTCTGGTAGGTGTCGGAACACTATCAAACGTGTTTCAGAACAACAGTGGTATTTCTTGATATTTCGGTTACCTTAAACCCATTAAATGAAATTATTTTGGGTTGTGTTAGAAGTATCTCTGTGTTCACTGGTAGCTTGTAATGACTATACAAAAACATCAGTTAGAATGAAAGTATGCAATCGCCTATCATCTTTTTCTATAAGAATTAGGGTTAGGTAGAACTGTCTGATTTCGCTATTTCTTTCTGACTCTTTCTTCGCCCTAACGTTCTGAAAACAACTCTAAAGGGATATACGTAGGGATGTAAATCTGCTATCTAAGCAGATTATGCAGAAAATATTACCTTACTGGGTGATAACGGGCAGACTGTCGAAATCAGACTTAATCAATTGCTAGTCGGTCTGTCAGCACAGTGGTCACCATACTGTTAACTGTTTGCTAGTCCTAGTACTGGTCGAAGAATGTGGAAGTGGTCAGGAAATAATATGGTACCGCGGGATGAAGGATAGTTAAATTAGGTCAGCATATCTGATATACATCAGGGAACTTCGTGGGTTCTGAGAAGTCGGCGACCTAATCGCTCTAGGTTTTATCAAATAAGATTCAGAATCACGATCTATGGTTACGGTACTGCAGATTTCTTGTTACCTATACTACCGAAAATGATAGGAATTAATAACTACTCTTTGGAATGTCCCTGATAAACGCGCTTACTTGTTTCGTCCTGTTTATCTCTGGGTACTTTCCTTCATATATTTCTTCCTACTGTTGTGTAACTCATCTCTTGGTGTTCACATGGTTTTCTCAGTTCGAATTCGGTTCCCAGAAAAGGTCCTGCATGTTCCAAACACAATTATTGTGTAAGGGCTGGTGATACTATCCAGTTGCCCAGCCTGAAGTAGATGGTTGACATTGGTACTGAAATTGTGTTTAATAATAAATACAAAGTTTTATGTAGTTTTATAATTATTTTTACCATTCTAAACAAAACCACTTCTACATCAACTATTTGTTTTTGTGCAAATGTATGTCGTGATACTAGAGCATTTTAGTCGGTAGGTAGTTTTAAGAACTTTTATTAGGTTGCTTATTTTTTCTGAGTTATGCCTTTTAAATGTGGAATAAATTTCAAATATATTACCTACTGGTTTATCTTTCATCTTTTTTCCTCTTCAGGTGGGATACAACAAGTAGAAAAGGATATAAAGCGTGTGTTATACGATTCGTATAAGAAAACAGATGAAGAGTTTTTAAGAGAGGCGTGTCAGCAGTAGGAAACCAACCATTATGTTTCATTCATCTTTTTTGCGCCTCTTTCTATTTTTTCAGGCGCCCTCATTGGAGAGATGGTAGTACAGCGGCAACTGTTTTATTAGTGAATAATACACTTTACATTGCAAATCTAGGTGACTCAAAGGTGATTCATACTTTAACCTACAATTGTTAAGTTATTTCATTTATGGGAATCATTGTTTTAATTTTCTTTTGATATTCATTTACTGCATTCATGACTGAAGTGCTATTTCATAACCCTACATATATAAGCTTATTAACACACATACCAATAAACATCATTGTAGAAGCTGTCAGGTAGAAACTCATTTCTGGACAATAAATTGAGGTCTGTTTTCTCGTTAGTCATTCAGAGTTTCTACGTGAATTTACCCTTTATTTAAGCTGTAGTTATCACTAACAGATTGGAAAACAATGTACATGACTCCCTTACAAACATGTACACATTCATGAAGTCATATGCGAAAATAGTGGCCTCTTTCAATATGCCTGTTACAAGGTTAAAAAATAGTGTAGTTTACTTCGGCATCATTTCTTATAATGTCCTTTAAAAATAATCAGTAGCACACAAGCTTCGTGTTATTCGTCCAGTTTAGATTTAAGACTGTTGCCATCCTTATCTTGTGGGTTTCTAGTCGCTAGTGCTTCAGGTAAGCACTTCACTATTTCAGTGTACTCTTGACCTTATTCATTGTTAGCACTTTTGAATTTTGCTGTATCTGCGTTCAAATTCTGTACTCTTTACTGTTTTTTCTCATTAACACCTTGCTTTCTAGGTTGTTTTAGCTAGATTTGTTGAAACCCCTTCACCATCTGAATCCAATCATTCTAATGGTAGTGCAAATAACACTGATAAAAGTCCTGTGAAAAACACAAAATTGAGTGCAATTTGTTTAACAAAAGATCATAATCCTATGGATTATGAAGAACGTCAGCGTATACAAGCTACTGGAGCCTCTGTTCAAAATGGTCGTGTAAACAGTATTTTAGAAGTCAGTCGATCATTTGGTGACTATCAGTTTAAAAAACAAGGTGTCACGTGTATCCCAGATGTAAGAAAATGTCAGCTAACCAACGATGACCAGTGAGTTATATCTTTTTGTTGTCCCATTGACACATTTTCGATTTCGTAAGTGGTATAGTCGACTGATGTGTGGGTTTAAGTTGTCTATTTTTTGATGAATTAGTTGACTTGGAGATTCGTTATTTTGTAAGCTGCCATTACCCTTAAAAAAGTAACAGATATTTACCACTTTTCATTTCAAACCTGCATCCATTAAGGATACCTACCTAGACTTGTACTGAGTAATGCTAAATCCTATTGTGTGATAACATTATATCTGTTTGTTTTGACAGAATTATGTCTTCAAAAAGTTATACATCTGTGTATTTTTGTAGAGGGTTATCTTGAAGCTGTGGTTTGTTTCATTAGGCACTGGGTTGTCGGCCACCCGATTTCTAACATCTACATTCATTGTCTTTATGGATGATTGGCTTGTTTTGATCTGACCACTCCTAATTTCTTTCTAAACGAATCGTTTTTCATTTTGTGGATGGTGACCAGCAGTGGAATCCAGGACAACGCGCATTTCGTCCTATTTGGGACTCGTCAACTGGATGTGCCTGCATTCCCCAGTGAGTGATGATGTTCCCACAGAGGCTCGAACCCAGAGCCCACAGTTTCAAACGCCAAAGCGGGCAGTGGGTTCGAGCCTCTGTGGGAACATCATCACTCACTGGGGAATGCAGGCACATCCAGCTGACGAGTCCCAAATAGGACGAAATGCGCGTTATCCTGGATTCCACTGCTAGTCACCATCCACAAATTAAATTCCAATTAAATGCCCAGACATCGTCGAAGCATCTGCACAAGAAGCCGACATGTCAAACTGAGACCGAGCACTTCGGTCCAATCAGTCGACGGGAAAATCTCAAATTCAATTGAATTGTTTTTCAGTCATCGTAACCACTGTGAGAGGGCGATGACTGTGTGTGTAACATGTGTCCTAGCCACTTTACTCAATGAAGCCTCATAATTTCATTGACAGACTTATCTAATGCTATTTTGACAGATAGTTGCTATGTTGACGTATTAGTTGAATTAATCTTGATCGTTCACCATCCCAGCTTATAAAGAAGTTAGATTTCTATTAATGTAAGCGTAGAAC